GCTTCAAATTATCCTAAATTCTGCTGCTGGACCAAGTCCACAGACCACATCACTCACTCCTCATTCAACGCCACTGGCTCCTAGTTCAACAACAACAACATTACAAGGTTCTACAGCTCATTTTAAAATCCCTCCATATCCTTCTTTTTATTTTTACAGCAAAAATACGTCAGTTACAAATATCTGTTATCAGCCTCCTTGATTACTTCTAATCAACATTGGTACTTAAAAAACAGACAAACAAAACAACACTATTACTTGGACAGCACTACTTACCAGTTCCACTATTTGAGTCCTTTCAGGTCTTTCATGAACTCTGTGAAAAACAAGAAGGGCAATGAGTACCTGAGACAACCAACCTGCAACGATTGAGTTAAAAAAAAAAAAAAAAAAAAAACCACACACACTGATTTGGGCCATTCAGGATGAGAGTAGTAAAAAAGTAAAGATTTGTACTAATGTCGTATCATTGTGTAACGGGATGCATTAGGATAACAGATTAAAAGAGATACCTAAAAATAAGCAAAATGTTCATTATGATGTTTGTTTGGTTGTCTGTTCAGCTGTCGTTGTTATTGTAGAACAAGTTTAGGTTTTACAGAAGACACGCATTAAAGTAGTCTTATGCCCCGGCCAACTGTCAATTAATTAAAAACCTCTCCATAACATTGGCTCTTTACTGTACACATATAATGACAGACAACTATCTCATCTAGTTTAAGCACTGAGAGCTCACCTCTTACAGTCAGCATCGAGGAAAGGCAGTGAATAGACTGTATATTACACATGGTTACAAGGTTGTTATAGTGCATAAATGTATAGATGTTCCTACAGTGTGCAGGTAAACTTTTATCTTATGCTGCTCATATTCTTGTTTCTGCTGCTAGCCACTTTGCTAATTAACGCTTCCTACAATAATGGTCCACATTAGTCACATTAGCAGTGGGGCTTACTAGTTTCGACGTGATATGTCTAAAAGGCTTCTTCGATGAGTGCTGCTATTGTTTGGACCTTTACTAGTTCAAATAAACAACTACAAACTACATTTAAAAATGTGGCAGCAGATTGTAAGCTATGTCTATAGTGTTATATTTAAGTGAGTGGGGTATTAACTTTCGCTACAAATCATAATTTAGCCAACATTACAGCTATGTGTGTGAATGGCACTTAGCTATTCGGCTAACATAAAAGTGAATTATTCCTGTAAATCAGCTCGGAGCTTTCTGTGTTGCTTACTTGTCGTGGAACGGGTGCTCCTCTCCAAACTCCTTCAAGTGTTTCTTCTGTTTCTTGGTTAAATTCGTGAAAAGCTGATTCTTCTGCCTTCTTTTGCCCATGTTGACACTCTGGCGCCGCACGTGTGCTGCTGCGACTTCTGCGGTGGTTTGTGTGTGTCAGCAGCCCGTGCAGCGCCTCCTGCAGGAGCGGAGTGGAAGTACAGGCTGTTGTCTGGTGGCACTCAGGAATTACAGTCGTCCTCAAATGTATCCATACCCTCCCATTAAAGAAAGAAAAAAAACAGCCGTCACTGAAATAAGTTGAAATTGACAAAAGTAGTGATAAATAAAAATGCCATGGAAATCATGACATTGCTTTTGAATTGTGGTTCAAAAGAAATTTTTAAAAAAAGCAAACAAGCATGATGGGACCCGTGAATATGTCCTTAAACAACCTTTCAATCACTGCAATCAAGTGTTTTCTGTAACTCTCAATCAGACTTTGACCCACTGCTCATCAGAAAAATGCTCTAATTTGTCTGGGACAGTTTATTATTAATTTTTTTTAGATTATTCTTTCCAACCACAATTCAAAAGCAATGTCTTATTTCACTTATTTCACAGATAATTTAGCAAATTTTTATTCATTACTTTTTTCAGGTTCTATCTATTTGAGTGACTATTGTGAATTTTGCCTTTTCTTTAATGGAATGATATGAATACATTTGAGGACGACTGTATATTTTGACATTACAAAATGCATATCTTTAAAAGTTTAATCTAAACAAGGAATGCCAGTTTATGTAAATTATACATTATAGAGCTGTAATAGTAAATCAACTATTTAACTTTTCAATTTATTGCCAATTATTTTGATACTGATTAATTAGGAAGAAAATAAAAGCCAGAAGTTCTCTGATTTCATTGTCTTACATGTGAATATTTTCTGGCTTATTTCCTCCTTTGTGACAGTAAAACTGAATATCTTTGGCTTGTGGACAAAACAAGACATTTGAACTTCCTTTTAAATATTCTATAAAATTTGTGTGCAATCTATTGAACTTGTTTTTACTGATTTATTTTATTAACTTAATTCCAATATTATCCTCCTTTTTTTGTATTTTATTGTTGAACTTTTTAAACCTTTGCCTCTAAAGCACTTCATATAATCTGTGTACGTGATAAGGAGCTACATAAATAAACTTGCTTGCTTGCTTTGGGAAACACTGATTGACATTTTTCATTGTTTTCTTACATTTTATAATCAAACAACTAATCAATTATTCAAGACAAATATTCACAGACTGACTGATTGCAGACCTAATGCAGTCTAAATGATCTAAAACCTACTTCCAAAATCCTGAAGCTGTATATAGAGACTAAAATATTGTCTGATAACAGAAACACAGTGCAAAAGATGATTGGCTCTTAGTTATCATCCTAAAGGGAAGTGCTATTGTTGAAGGATTTCCCCATACTTGAAAATAGTAGGGAATAGAGTAGGTTTCCAATCATGCTTGCTTGATCCTTGTATTCCATTATATTAGACAAAGAAAATAATAATAATGATATATTGAACTCAGAATATAATACATTCAGACACATATTGTGTTTCTGTGGCAGTTCAATGCATTTCTGAATGGAATTCCTAACAATACATTTGTGTTTTCAGTGTGAAAATCTTTTTTAAAAAAACCCTTATTGCTGAGGAGGGATCTTCTTCTTTCTACACAAAGCAGAGAGTCTTTACAGGTTTCAGCATGGTGAGACAATAAACGCTCTAAATGTATTTGACAAGATGGGTTTAAACATTAGTTTAATGTCCACGTAGGTGATTAGGATGTTATGTAAAGCCCTCAACACTCACAATGCTAAAATACATTTCTTAAAACCTCAACATCAATGTCATATGCAGAGTAAACATAAAGATCTACATGGCAACAATCTTTATAGCAAGTTGGATTAGCACTTACAAGCACAATGTAGGTTGCAGCAAAGGTCACCAAAGGTTATCTGGTGTTCTCAGGGTAATTCATCCTCGCTGCTGGCCAACAGACCTTAAAGGATTAGACACCAGCTCTGTAGCCTATCTGCTGTTTGAAAACTAACCTTGATCAATTATTGAACATGGTAATATCAATTTACTGTTTGCCTGTTTTAGCTGTTACCATGGCAGGAGCTCATCCATTATTAACCATTTGGGAGTCTGGTTTTTGTACTCGGGGTATTTTCCAGCCATTTTGACACGTCAATGAGGATATTATTGTTTGATAATTGCGAACCACTATGGCTTAGGCTGAAAGGGCACGTCTGGCTTTTCTGAATGGGATGTGAAACATGTTAGACATTGTTGTGTTTCAATGGAGCGGCCAAAAATGAAACAGGAGAAAGAAAAGCCTGGGAAAACGGTGAGGTTTAGAGTAGCGTCTGCCAACAGCGGCCGGGTCTTGGCGGAGGTGTTCAAGGATGAGAGGGCCTGGTACGGCTCTGTGTCGGACTCGGTGGACTCTGATGGCACCAGCAGCCCGGAGGCAGAGCAGGGAGGCTCGCTCCCCGCCAGCGAGGCCAACAGCCACCTGAACGGTCTGCCGGTGGAAGCCGCTGTGGACGACAACGGCTGTGAACCTGATGACCTGCTTTTGTACGCCAGTGCCAAGAGGGAGATGTTCTTCAGCAACAAGCGGATCAATATCTGCAGCAAGAACGGGACCATACGAGGAGTGAGGAACAAAGTGAGCGCGGGCCAAGTGCTTTTCAACAACCTCTCCAACGTGTACACTGTAAGTAACTCCGGCATGGGCAGCAGAACGTCATCTGAAACTGTTTTTATTGAAGGTTAATTCTGAATCTGATGATCTGATTATTTCAGCCACAATGCCTCTTCTTCATGCATGAGCTCAGAATAGAGGATTAACAAAAACTGTTAAGCCCTGCAAAAAGTACCGGTACCACAGTGTAGTCACAAGCTTTATTCTCTTTTCCTTTAAGGGTTCTCTTCGTCATCAGAAAAGGAGACCCTGGGAAAAGGAGTAGCCAGTGTGAAATTTCACACAGTGTGGCCAGCAGGAAGAAAGATCCCTGAGGCTGAAGATTGTCTTGCAGTTTTGTCTGCACCAGGAGTCTGCACTTAATTTACAGGTTAACAAACATTCTTAAGTGATTTCTATCATTACGCCTATTACTTTGAAAGTTTGACAGTGCTTTAATCTGTGCAAGTCCTGTCTCAGAGCCATCCCTCTGATAATGGTAAAAACAATGCAGCAAATAATGCACTATGATGTACTTGTCAACACATTTAACTATCTTCTAACTCCATCTTCATACATTCAAAACACTAAAACCCTCCGAAATAAACCAGATGATTTTTTCATACCTGCTGCTAAGCTGTTGCCCATCCACGTGTTTCAATAAATGCAGGTTCTGTGAAACTCAAACAACTGAATCAACCAACTAAATAACTTGACGTGATGCTCTGACACTTTGAATGGGTTCCAAAGTGGGGCTTTTTGTATTATTTTTTAAGATGCTGTAAGTTTAATTGTGACCCAGATTTTCACATGATTTTGATATTTGGTCTCTTTCATGACGTGGGACTGAATTATGTGTAGATGTGTGTGTTTTTGTAAGCCTTTTGTAATGATGTTCATACTAGACTGAATGTGCTTCATACTGTGTTGAACACATAATTCACATATTCTGCAGATGTTACCTATACTGACCTTCATGTGACTTATGAGGTGGATTTAAGGCTGTTAATCACTGTTGTATTACGGTAGATTTTAAGTTTGATACATGTGATTGTAGAAACTTTGCTCGCTACATTTATTAAGTGCTGTCAAACATTTCACATATTGTATAAATAGTGGAACATTATCTATATGACTGGTGATACAAGTGAATCAGTAATGGGCATACTGTAGATTTTTATCAGTTACAAAAAAGTAACCAAGTACATTTACACAGGTGTTGTACTTAAATACAGTTTTGAGGTACTTGAATTTTACTTGAGTATTTTCTTTTTTATGCTCCTTTATACTTTCCCTTCACTACGCTTCAGAGAGAAATGTTGTACTTTCTTCTCAACTTCATCTACCTTGCAACTTTAGCTCCTTCTAAGAAGAATATTGAACACAATGGATAATATAACACCTTTTTAAAATAAAACACATTGGTAAATATTAAATTAGTGGTTTCCAACTGTTTTGTTTTCTCTCTAAACTTCTCACGTGGTTTCATTTTAATAAAAGTTAAATATCTCACCAAAAATCAAGGAATAAAGAGAAAGTCCTAAAACTCAAACCAGATTTTTGTATCAGAATTTTTATTTATTTATTTATTTTAACCATGTGACAAGTCCTTGTCTGCTCTCTTTGCAAATAAAACTGAAGGTAATGTAGCATGCAGACACAATAATGCTTCAGTATTGATAATCTAATGTCATATGTAACAATAACACTTGTGTACTTTTACTTAAGTAGAATTTCTTATGCTGGACTTTTTATATTGCTGCATTGGTAGTTTTACTGAAGTATTGGAACGGAATACTTCTTCCATCACTGGTTTTTAGTCTTTCTTTGGTGGTTTCTAGAAGCACTGCAGTCCACAGCAGCATTGAATCACACAGGATAACTTCCACTTGATGGTGAAATTTTTATTTTTTCATTTATGTCACAATTTGAGGTGCATTAATGAAAAGGCATGATGGTATGATTCAGATATATTATCTTAAGTAATTAGCTTAAATCATGTAAATCACTGATTAATCTCCAACAACTGGTGTCCCCACATGACATCAAGAATCAAAGTCAAATCGGTTCCACAGATGAGCGAAGCTGCACAATGTGAAGGAAACTTTGATATCAAATAAAACCCACAAACAGAAGTGTGTCTCTTTGTGTCTGTATTGAACACACTTGCACAAATGGACCCAGTCACCCATCCAACAGAGTTCCCCTTGTCCCCTCAGGGAACATCTGTTCAGGTGGCGCGCAGTTCAAGTGTGTTCAAAGTTCAAATGCTGAACAAAAGGGTCAGCGGAGAGTTTAAGTGTACAACTAGAGGGTCAGCTTACACTCTAAAAAAATAAGTTTGAAGTTTTTATCATCATTATTTAAATTAGTACATCTTCCTGTTATTTTACTAGAAAAAACCTACCTTTTGACAAAACAGGGAACATCACTAAGATTATTAAAAAATGTTTACCAACTTTTAAATTCTTAACATACATATTTATTGCATATATCTGCAAAATATCAAAACATTGTCGGTGATTTTAATACTGTAAAATGGCGTGATTTTGCAGTCTAACATTGTCAAAGAATACATTTTAAGATATGATTTTTTTCTTAGATTTGGACTGTTTTTTCAACATTTAAAGCAATAGTTTGTACCTCTTACTTTACTAGATAATATCTGAATTTGGACAAATCAGGGACAAACTGTAAAATAACAATCAAATAAATAGGTAAATAAATAAATAATTTCAGTCCTTAATACACAGTTTTTCCTTCAAATAATGGCAAAAATATGAAAATAGTAATATATATATATATATTGCTGATTTAAATACAGTTAGTGCAATTTTATTGTCAAATGTTAGAATACAACAAATCACCACTTGTAATTTTTTATTTATTTTTTAATGTGGACATTATTTTCAGTTTTGCACTTGTTTGCAGATAACATGTAAATCAACACTTGTCTGTGATTTACCTGTAATTTCACAAAACTGGGAAAAAATCTGCAAAATGACAGTGAATTAAAAACAAACAAACAAAAAACAGCTACATATGTTAAATAAAACGTTTATCCTTACAGTGTGCATCAGTGTTGACTGTAACTCAAGATATATGTACTTGCTAGAAATATGAGTGAAGAAGCAAAACACGATGATAATGACATGATTACATCCTCCACACAGTGTCAGGGCTGGTTTTAGGGGGACTTTCCCTTTAAGTGGCAGGTTTATGCAACAGCATCCCCTACACCTGCTTCATCAGCACCATGCACACAGAGCCTGGCAGCCCTCCACGGACCGACACCTCCTGCCCAGCCTGACCGACACACAGCGGCCCTGAGAGGCAGGACAGCTTCGCTTCTCCACTGACAGCCAGCAAACATCATGTTACTGCGGCACTGACAGATAAACCAAGCTGGATGCGGGCTTTTCCTGTAGACACACCCCCGCTGTTTTTTCCTCCTTCCACAGCCATCGCAAACATCCATTTATTCTGGGGATTCACCGACCCGACTCGTCTGTCGATGTAAATGACGGACGCTGGGACGCAGGTCTGACCAGTCGCGGTTTGAGGGACGCAGCAGAGTCAGGTAGCGGGTCTCTTCCTGCTCCACGCCCTGTCAGTGTTATCAATAGCAGCCCAGCACCATGTCTCCTCCAGCATCGGCTGCGACGGCGAGCGAAAGCAGCACCACCACCGTGTTCGAGGAGGACACCAGAGAGGAGGTATGGACTCCGATCATCCTCCAAGCTGAGCCTTTTGTTATGGTCTGTTTGTCAGATGTTGTCGCAGAGCTGTAGTGAATCCATGTGCAGGCTGTAACACACTGCAGGTGAATTATTTGACAGGAATTGATTGTCGATCTCAGTTTCATCGTTTTATTGTTTGGCATTGGGGGGGTTTTCTGTAATCTTGCAGTTTGCATGAATAATTTTAGGGTTAAATTCCAGCAGGTGATTGTTAATCATTCAGCCTGCATCTTTACCTGTCATTCACCTCTTCTCTGCTGGGGCGGGCCTGTAGAATCCCCCCCAGCACTGAAACCTGGCAAACAAGCCTTTCAGCAGATCTGTAAAATGACATCAGTGGTTAGAAATCTTTCTTGTTATTCATCATTTTTCGATTGACTTTTTTTTTTTTTTTTGTGCAAGGAAATTCCTACTCTATGTGTGTGACTACAAGAGTGCATGACCTGCTCATTAATTTTAGTCTAATTATGCAAAAGCCCCTGTGTGCTACAGATGTTGCAGTGATGCAAACAAGCATTCTGTGGTGATCAATTATATTGCAACTGCTTTTTAATTTTTAATTTTTAAAAAAAAATGACTTTCTCGTTTGTTTTGTTCTTTGCTTTGACTCAACAGCAAAGACCCCTGAAGCAGTCTCTGAGCAAGTCCTTATGTCGGGAGAGTTTTTGGAAATGCCTGCTCCTGTCCATCCTCATGTATGGCTGCATGGGAGCAATGGTTTGGTGTCATGTCACCAAGGTGACCCGCCTCACCTTTGACAGTGCCTTCAAAGGGAAATCCATGATGTACCATGACAGTCCCTGCTCTGATGGCTATATCTACATCCCCCTGGCCCTACTAGGCATGCTCTATTTAGTCTACCTTGTGGAGTGCTGGCACTGTCACGTGAAGAATGAGCTACAACACAAGGTGGATGTGGAGGGCATCTACGAGCGCATCCAGAGGATGCAGCAAGCTAAACCCTGCATCTGGTGGAAGGCCATCAGTTACCACTATGTTCGCCGAACTCGACAAGTCACACGCTACCGCAATGGAGATGCTTACACTAGCACCCAGGTTTACCATGAACGCGTCAATACCCATGTGGCAGAAGCTGAGTTTGACTATGGTCACTGTGGTGTTAAAGATGTTTCCAAACAGCTGCTGGGCTTGGAGAAGTCTGCTCTTACCAAGATGCGGTTCACCAAGTGCTTTAGTTTTGCCAACGTAGAGTCAGAGAACTCCTACCTTACACAAAGAGCAAGGTTTTTCACCGATAACGAGGGCCTTGATGACTACATGGAGGCCAGGGAGGGCATGCACCTGAAAAACATTGACCTGAAGGAGTACGTCATGGTGCTGTCTGATCCGGAGCACCACCCCTGGTATCTTTCCCACTATGTCTTCTGGTTTGCCTCATTCCTCACTTTCTCCTGGCCTCTCAGAGTCTTTACAGAATATCGCACTGCATATGTCCACTATCGTGTTGAGAAGCTTTTTGGACACGATTACCTCCCTGTTACCCCATGCGATGATCGGCCATATTGGCGTCGCATCCCTCGTGTTA